TAAAAATTAGGTCGAAAAATCCTATAGAACCTTTAGGATTCGCGGGCAGGGAAAGACCCAAAATGACCAAATTTTCGACTTTTTCAAACATTTTTCTAAATTTTTCTGAAAGTTATTCTGCTTTAAATGTAGTTAAAACTTACTAAAAACAATTCGAAAACACTTTATATTTGATTACCAGGTCAACCCGGATACCAGGAAAAAATTTGTTCCCCCGAATACCCCGGAATCCTAAAGAACCGAAATTTTAAATGGGCCAGGGCCACTTATCCAAAGCTTTTTCGCCGAAATACGGGTGTTGAAAGAATTGAACGCGAATCCCGGATAATTAGCAGGCACTCACCTGATGTCCTCGCAGAAACGGCCGTTGAAAAGGTGCGCTCCGTTGGCAGGGCAGCGGCGAAGAGGGACCAGGGCTTGACTACCTGAAAAACTAAAATACATAAAAATAAATTTGCATCACACAATTTTGGCGGAACAGAACAGGAATGAAAAAAACTATTGACATTACAACTACCAACGGGACCATGATTTCCGGAAAGTGGATGCAGATTTTGTATGCAAACTGTGCGTGAAATTGTAAAAAGTGCAGAGAAGAGAAGAAATGATTAGTGCTGTCTAAAGAGCGTTTTTGTGCGCATAAATTCGCAAGAAAAAGGTCAAAAGATTTAGATTCACATAAATATAAAAGATTTAGATAAAAGATTCCGTGCTTCGCCGTTTGCCCGATTTGAGCAGTGGGGAGCTACGGGAGGCTACAAAGTACCCATAGCCCAGCCAAGGGCTTTTTTAACTTATCCAAATCTTTTTTAAAGTTAAAATTAACGTCGAACTATTGTTAAGATTACTTTGGCGCTATAATGACGACAATTATCACTATAATGTCAGGGCTCGCAAAGCAGAGAAGAGTGATTGTAGAGCCGAGAGTCCCAAATTAGCGGAAACGCGGTTACGTCCCTCGGCAAGCCCAATGCTAGAAATAGTGGGGTTTCCCTATAAACCAGTGTACAGGGACCAATCACATCGTGCTCGGCCAGATGCTAGCGATCGGGTAGATCACGTAAGGTGGCAGGTCGAGGTGCGAAACCCAGTATGGTGAGTTGCGCAAGGGATTGTTCGATCGCAACTGCTAGACAGTAATTTGATAAAGTTATTGCATTCTATCCATCTTTTTAAAGCATTGCTTTTCGTTATTTCCCCTTCACCTAATCCAAGGATCCCGCACTTTCATCCCTTGCCTTCCTCCTATTCGCATTTTTCAAGGTTCTGACTCATCACCCGACGCCTTGTTTTCGAAATGCGAGGATGGGTTGGCGATGTTGATTTTCCCACGGGGTCCACCGTCCCAAATCGATACAGAGAGGGTGGTCACTCGGAAATTCTGTGAGCTGGTGCTCAGACGCCACCCGCTCGAGCCACCTTGCATTTACCCAGACGCTTCCCGGGGCGGGGGCATTGGTTCCCCCTGGCTGTAAATGCTACAGTAGCCATCAGTTTTTGATTTCATGAGAAAGTATTTTGGTTTTCAATTTCGGTTGGTGCCAATATGGCTTATACAGATCCCTCAAATAAGCGATTTTTTCGTCCTCAAAAAGATATTCAGTTAGTGCTATAACTATCGCAATCTGCCGCTTTTACTGAGAATTTCCGTCCTTCTTAAATATGCGGATATTTGCAACTTCACATTAATTAGTTCTTTCCTTATATTTTCAGGCTATTCGCCTCAGCTGGGGAATTTTTCCAATAACATCCGCCGCTACATCAATGTGCGGCCACGAGGGGGATTCAACAACCGAATCGCCCACAATTCTTCAAATTATAGATGACGATGATAAAAATGTTTACTTGGTAAGGTTCTATTTATTAAAACCCTTCCGTTCCGTTCTTACAGTAACTACTATTATAGACATTTTAGAAGCAACTGGAAATCTGTTGTGTCCAGCCTACCACTGGTACCTGCTGAACTTCAACGTTGTGTAGATGTACGAACCGGCAAATTTTAAAAGCGGGCTGTTGAACAGGATAAAAAAATTAAGGTAGCTTTCATTTTATGAGTTCAAATGTTTTTGGAAAAAAAAAGAAAAAGCATGGTTTTAGACAAGGATAAATTCAAACACCCAAAGATTGTGGGGCGTTTATATGCGCTGCCGATCAGCACTTCCACACGATAATTAAAATGGAAAAGCAGCTGGTAAAGGTGAGTCGTCGTGAAAAAACCAACGAAGCGCTAACGCAATCTTGAAAAATACTGTCTAAGAAAACGGCGAAGTAAAGTGTGCCCATTCTCGAATTCTTTATTTTGATGCACGCCTGTAAGAACTTGCAAAAAACTAGTCAACCCGGTTCTTAGCAACGAGGGGAATTATTTTGATCGCTAAATGACCATGCCCTTGTAGTCTGCGAAAATTATTCTCGTTATTATTATTGTATTAATTTTTCAGGAGGACGTCACGGTACTGTGGTCACTGGGCAACTGCCTACTGCTGGGCTCGAACTTTGAGGAAATATATATGGCCCAACTCGTTTCGGAAGCCATGCCGTTTATCGGTATAGCATATTTTTTGAGGCACTAGGTTGGTTTTACTCTCATTGTTTGAGTAGATTTTGGGAATGTCAATGAAATATCTGAAAGGTGAACTTCAGAGGACGAAGGGGCCGACGCTCGACAACGACTGCGGCGCGTTTGTGTGCGTCTACGCGTCACGATTGCGCACAATAAAGAATGAAAAGGAAAGTAGCATTGGAAAATCAGCATACGCAAAGGTAAACTCTTTAGAAGTAATGTTTTGCCTATGAGTTTCGCAGGTAAGTGAGATCTGTTTTAAAAAAGGGTTAAATTTGTTGTCGGTCGGGACAAAATCTGCTTTAGAAAACGGGCGAAGGAAATTTTGGAATTTTTCAAATCCTTAATTTTGATCCGGGCTGAACGCTACTTGGAAAAATTTATTACTTCCCCTCCGTACCTTAAAAACCTAGTTTAGGAGAAGCGGAAAACTGTTGTGGCCTGTGTGCAACTGGTAACTGCTGACCTTGGACTTTGTAAAATTTATAAACTATTTTCGAGGCACTAGGTTGGTTTTGTTTTGCGAAACGCATTTCATGAGATTCAACCTGACAACAGCAAGGCCAATTTTAGAAAAGAACATACCTGGGCACCGTACAACGATTGAGGCGCGTTCGTGTGCACTTCCGATCCGCGCTACCGTACGATAATTAGAATGAAAAAAACATCGGCAAAATCTCGGCGTGCTATACGCTAAAGGTAAGTCCCTTAGTGATAATCGTTTGCTTGACTATAGATCTTTATTATATAGAAATTCAAACCTTATCTTACTTCGTTTATAAAAGTGATCAGTGCGAAGCGCTTTTAAGGTTTTTTGTTTTGGCTGGTACGCCACGAAATTCGTTACTTCCGTTTCTTGAATTTCTTGAAGAAATTTGACACCAACGTCTTAAATTAATAAACTTCCTAAAAACAGTGAAACTCGCGTAGGGACCCGATCACGGAGGTGTATGGCATCGAAAAGCTAGCCGATGGTCTGTCTGGGACTCTGGATGAAAGTTGCGGAGCCGAAGAATAATGAACGAAGGGGCGCCAGCTACCATGCATTCAGGTTCTTGAATATTTTTTTATTAATTCCTCTTTTACCTAATCACAATTATTTGTATTCTTTAGAAAGACCAGACAGCAGACGCACGCTGAAGCACGCCCGAACTTTGAAAAAATGATGAGCAAGTCCGTGAAAATGTTGGTTTGAAGGCGAGTGGACGGCTCCATTTGACTGTTCAATTATTAACTCGAAAATTAGTTCTTTCCAGGAGGAATTTAGGGGACCCGGGTTGACGCTTTTATATTTATGATTAAATCAAGACCTTATGCCTATTAGCACAAAATTTCGAAACAACTGACATTTTCCGTTAATATTTTTAGGTGGAAAGAAATACCTATCTGCTATGAAGCTACGCGGCGATACGACGGTTTCAATGCGAAAAATTTCAAATGAACTTCAAATAAACGAATTAAGATTCAGACCAACTATGCTGTGAAATTACTTCCAAATCACCGGCGTTTGTGATGAAAAGTTACACTAGAATCGAGCCGGAACCTCCTTAAGCAAAATATGGTGGCCACCTGGCTTCAGTAAAAATATACATTTATTAACTTTTAAAAATCAACTTACTACAGTACGCTTACTTACTACTACACTAACTATTATAATAAGAAATCAACATCCTTCCGAAAAAATTGTTCGATCCTTTCTCCCTAATGTCTTCTTGTACTCTTACCTAGAAAAATATTTTGGAATTTGTATAATAAATAATAAATTAATAAAAATAAATGTATTAACTCTTAAATGAGTTAATAACTATAAGAGTAGAGAGAGGGTGTGAGGTGAAAGGTTGGGCCGCTGGTGCCCAGAGACTTAATCAACCGAGGTTGAAAAGCCAGGTCAAATATGCCCAATGTAGCTCACGAGTGAACTCAAAGGACGGTCATGTAACTCCGAAGAGTCACGAGGATATACCTTTCGGTATAACCAGAGGTTGCCTTCATAGGCTAAGTGTAGAAGAAAAAGAGAGAGGAATGCTCGTTTCGTCCCTATTCCTAGACGAGCTTAGACAGCGGCCGGGACTCCTCAGCAGGAAGCCGCTAGATGTAAAAAATTATTAGTAAATATGATATGGTTAAAAAGAAGAAATTTATGTTATGTTTTAGTAAATTTTCTTTTATTTTCTTACTTTCTTTTGTTTTGATAAGTAACTTTTCTGGGGTCGTAACTATTTTGTAGTTTATGGTTGTAGTAAACTGCGCATGATATATGGTGTATATAGTAGTTGTACGTAGTGTGGCATGGAGATGTGGAAATCGGCTAAAATAATTAACGTGATGAAAAAAAACTCTTAATATCGAATGTATTTGTTTTTCATTTAAGTTATTTTTGAAGTTAAAATGAATAATATTTGTATTTATAGGTAAGAGAGCCTAATTCCTACACTCGATGTCGGTTGTGGAAGCTACTCCCAAAGCGTCGACAGGAGCTGGAAAAGCAATGTCTACAACGCCCGTCCCCGGCAATTTCGATGAAGTGAATAAGAGAATTACGCGGATTGAAAAGGAGATTTCAGCGGTACTTATCTTTTAATTTAGTAAAATTATTGTTTTAGTTAACTGTCATCACTCGTTCGGAGGCCTTGCTTGTGTCTTACGTCGACGTAACGAAGTTCGGTTATGAAAGACAGAGTTACAAGCAAATGTTTCTCGACCTTTCGAAGAAGCTCATCGTTGTCGATATTTCTGAGAAGATTAGAAGTGTGATAAAACTTTCGTCGAACAAGGAAAATGAACACCAGTTTGTGGTAAGTATTTTAAGATATAGAATAATAAATAATAACTATATTTGTATTAGGTAAATCTTCTTGATGCGGAACTTCTGAAGTTGTATTCGGGAAAAGAATTCGGGAAGAAGATTCGTGAATTAAATGCTGAACGCGGCACGAGGCTAACGATTTCGAAGTATCTAAATAAAGTGGAACTGACGAATCGCTCGTTTTCTAGCAAGTTTCAGCATTTTGGACGAGGTTTGTTTCGGTCCAACTATCGCAATAGATTTGATTAAACAACATTTTAATTATAGGAAAGTTTCCTAACTCTACTTTTTGCTTGTCTTTTATTTTGTGTGTTTTAATAGCTGCGTTAGGCACCCGTTCTGCAATTAACAAATTTATCGACACGGAGTTGGTTTTTTTGGCGGCTTGAGCCCTGATCGTTAGTCAGCTTGATCTTCTGGGTGGGCGACTGCTTCCGCGGAGAGATTGAAGAAAACCATTTCAAAACCGATTATGTCCTTTCTATTTCCTGCGGGATCCAGTTTTTTGTAAGAATACCCAATCCCTGGATATCCGTCAAGTTGAACTGTACTTCCTGGCGATGCACCCTCGGTTTGGGTCAGCACAAAAGCATTGCGCATTCCAAGCTGCTCCCTTATCCCAGTGGGAGGCTTGCTAAATACCACATGGTCCGTGTCGAAGCGACGGTTCGAATCCTTGAAAATCTTCATGAAATTTTTGGCAACGCTTTCTGTCGGTTGGTGGTCTATAACCCTGACCGGAGCACCCGAATTAAAGTCATAGTTCGGGTTGCTCGGAACCCCGGTGATAATAATGCCGCGCAGATTTTCGACGGGATTCCTTGACTTTGCAATCATCTTGTCCAAGAATTCCGGAAATCCGCCATTGTGTGTTGTAATCATCCCGTGGCTGCGATGTATGCATATATACAACACTCTGTCGTACTCGAACCAGCATACGCGGGTGCCTTTCGTGCAGATGGCACCGTAGACAGTGGGTGCGGGGTTGCCATCGTCTCGGAACACAACAAACATACGCGTTTGATCGGGCAAAACCACAGCCGGGTTAAGATCTGGATTATCTAGCGTGCGAATTTCTTTCGCAAATTTTACGCGATATCCGGGGATGGTCAGAATCGGATTTGGTCTTCCCTCTTTGATAGTCTTCAGAATCACGGCCAAATTGACGTTTTTCCGGTTCAGTACTTCCTCCAAGACTTTCCTCTTAACACCACCATTGACATCCCATTCATCGGCGTTCCAAACAAGGTTTGTGAAGTCACCATCAGGTAGCTCAAAGCCAACACCTTCGAGCTGCGCGTCATCATCCGGCAGGTCGACGCGTCGGAAATCAGCGGCAAGGTCATCGCCGAGCGGGTCCCTGTAAAGCCGTTTGCATGGGCTATAAAGCGTGGCCCGTGAAACTTTTCGTTTCCCTTGATAACCACCCCTGGCTGGTGGCAAATGATCATGACTGACTGACCTCGCGACCTGCTGGTGGCCTTCCGCTGCCATCGCTGCTCAGCCCAGTCAGAAGAGGATGCTAAATCGTTAGGTATGGGATTGAGCCGAACCAATGACTTATATGATAGATGGTGCCAAAAACCGTTTGTGAGAATGGTAAGGTTTGCGCAAGGCCTCGAAGCTTAGAGCGGAAAGCACAATTTTGGTAAGGCACTTTGATCTATTGCCCCAGCAAGAGCCAGGAAGGCTCAGGGTGTACGAAGTATGAAAATCTAGTATACAATTTAGAATAATAAAAGTTATGTACAACCCGAAAATGTTTTATTCATTTTACTGAGTAAACTGGTTGAATAAAAATCGGGCTGTCTAGATCTGTCCCATTAAGCAGGATAAATCATGGCAATCTTAAGAAACCTTGGGAAAACGGAAGAAACCTGATCCAAATTTTTGAACGGTCGAATTGGCAAAGTTCTTAAGCTGATAATCTTGGTTTCGATGTCAGGTCCAAAAACGTTCTATGAAATGTTACCATATTCTCAAAAAAGAAGATCTAATACAGGCAACTGAGCTGAGAGCTTCCATTAAAAATTCGGAAAAGCACAGAGCTCAAATTTTCATCGAGTGTGAGGGGCCAAACCGTGGGCAAAGCTTTTGATAGGCCACACATGCACACTATCACAAAAATGCATAGGCGCAATTTTGTGTTAACGACATAACGAGGGAGGCGTAGCGTGCTTAAAAACCCAGATAAGACAGGTTTCAGCCTAGGCCAAATTATTTGCCAGGATCGAACGATTGCCGGGACCAGGCCAGTGGAAATTTTTTGGATGAGGGTTTATATCAATAATTTTTGCCACTGGTATATTTTTGCAATATAATGTTTATTTAGCAACCAAAGGACGTCATCAATTTATTCATCAAAGCTCAATCGCTTGCACCAACAAGAAAACTGAAAAAAGACAATTAAAAAAAAATGCAAATTTCATCAAAAAAAATAGACGGTTCATTCGAAAAACGCAAAAAACACGCTAAAATCATGGAAATAAGGGTTATCTGAGAAATAAAAGCTGTTTTGGTATTCCTGGCAAAATACTTGAAACTTCATAATACAGAAAATTACATTTTGTAACAATTTAATATTCCGGAAGTTCATCTTTGAGTCTGACTTCTTTAATTCCGTCAATGGCAGATTCCAAAATGCTCCACGGCCGTGCCACTGTATCAATCTCTTTCAACCGAAACAGAATCGGACCATTTTTAAATTCTTCGCCCATCCGTTGGGCGAATACTTCGTGGTGAACCTGCACCTGGAAGTCTTGCGCGCCTAACAAGAAACAGTTCTGGCGGTGGATCCATAGATTGGTGAGACAATTATCTTCAATTAAGTCAAGGAATGGTTTGACAGCTTCTTCATCTTTCGGTCTGATTGCAGTTTTCCTCTGCAAGTCTACCGCACATCCTTCAAGCCAACCGAGTAGGAAGATTCCTGAAAAAATTGCTATCAAAGTGCCGTCATTCATCAAGCCGAAATGTCATAATATCGACAATTCGGAAGGCCGGAATTTTGTAAGGTCGAAATTTCCTTTCCTTTTTCCTTGTCAAAATCCTAAAATGTCCACTAAAAATTCCCGAATTCTATAATGACGAAACGAATATCGACATTTCATAATGCCGAAGTTTTCCGGGAACAAATTGCCAGATAAATCCCGAAAATAGTATCTCAAAGATTTCGCAGATGGAAATAAAATATCCGATAAATCTTCCGTTTGAAAATAAGCCCCGATAGTCATGAAGAAGAATTAAAGCACTATTAAGAATACTCGCCTTTAAGATTTTTCGAATGCTCGACGGTCTCCGCTAGCCATTTCCTGAAACGATCTGAGGACAGCTCTTCTTCAACCCGACAGCCGGCCACGCAAATGAAGAGCACTTCCTGAAAAATGTTGAGTAGTAACGACTGAAGTCAAGCTTCTGGCGTCAAATTCTGATCTTCGGATCGTTTTACGCTTTTTCTAATACAATTTCAAATTTTTTAACGTAGACTCGGGTGCCGTCGAGCGGCGCTTTTGCAATATCGGGGGAAGGGGACTAACTTTTCTTCCAGAGTTCAATTTTTCTAAGGTAAGAAAAAGCAAAGGAAAAGAGGTAAGAAATCCCAAGCTTCTAGGAATTCTAAACGTAAGAATACAAAGTCTCGATTTTCCATGACAACTGGAGTTCCCATGTCAAATTGGAATGCCGTAGGCAGCTCTTTAAGAAAATCGATTAGTTGCAAGTTGCAACTACGGAAGGTCCCACCAATTAGGTCTCAATCTGTCAGATGCATCCAAAAATTTAATAAAGTAAGGTTTCAGGCCTTTAAGCTAAAAAGGGTAACGTAAGCCGTCTCACCTCCCAGATCAGATGACAGACACTGGCTGGAAAGGGCAAGCCGTCTACCTCTAGCGTACATGCCGTCATTTCCAAGAAATCCGTCCCATTCCAGTACTTATTATAGATCACCATAATATTCGAGGGAGACTTTTGTAGTTCTTTGAATTTGGCAATATCTCTTCGAATGAATTGAGAATCCGTTGTGAAGTTTTTGTTCTCGGGTACGACGGGGAAGAAGCCGCATGACTTTGCGTTTCCCATCAGCTCCTTCCGGATCACATGAGCCTCATCTTCGGGCTCGCCAAAGTCGTGTAGAATGAAAGCCAAATAAACGCCCTCCAAGGTGCTTTTAAGGGCGTTGCACAATTCTGCTGTGACGGCGGTTTGATCTCGAATATCCCAAATCACGACTCGCTGCCCATGGGCGTAGAAGATTTTTGGCGCTTTTTTGGGGGGTGCCCGGGCTGGAGTTGGCATCCTAAATAGTAACCATAACGGTAATAATAACTTCAATTACCTTAAAATTCAGAAAAATAAAGAAAAAACAACCAAGGACAATTTATAAAGTTTCTAGAATATTAATTGGTTGTCTTGAATGAAAATAATTTACAAATGTAATTTCTACAAGCACCTATATGCAACTAACTACGTCAAAGTTCGTATGACAATAAATAAATTATAGAATAGATGGTAACACCGAAAAGTTACTCAAAAACTCAATTTTTTGGTTGTGAGAAATTTCAAACATACTTTCTTTAAAAAGTGTATTACTTATTTAAAATTAAAAAAATATAAATATTTTACTAAAAACTACTTTACTTTTTACTTGAAAGAAAAAGATAATGAAAACCAAAAAAGAAAAAGATAAGTTAATGAAAGGTTAAATTAGCACTTGGCGCACCTATTTTCGGAGAAACTATTAACCGTTGAGACGGAAAAATAGGATAATCTTCTTTCCCCGGTAATTACCACAGCTCAACCCTTTATCAGCTATTTCCGAGACCTTTGGTAAGTAATTCACCGCAATTTTTGACAGCTCAGCGATGAATCATTGATTCAGGGTTATCTTAGGCGTCCAGCGCCAAAAAAATTAGCCTGAGACGATGAAAAAGCCTAAAAAATCAATAAGAACCAGAAAAGCATGAGGACGCTCGATAAGGCGACTTTTTTAATATTGACCGATCGTTTTTAGATGCAAGCGCCAGCTCAAAAGGACACAAAGGAGGGTGGGATAACGTGGAAAAGATAAGGCGGGTCTAGCAGGCGTAGAAGACCGGAAGCGTCGGTTTTCAAGATATACTGGCGGAGTGGTGAACTCTGGGGGAGAAGCGGTGAGGTGACATTTTCTCGCGGAAGCTTTTCATTGTTTCGTATGCTTCGTGTGCCTAGGCTGACCTGAGATTTCACAAGAGCTCTTTCGTAAATGCTTACGAGATTTTTTAGGAACCAGGACAAACAATTCATAAGGTTTCGAATTCTGGTGTTACAGATCAATTGAGACGCTTTCAAGTTAAAAAACGTTGAAATTCCGTCTAAAAACGGGGTGTGTTGACGAAGTGATACGGTAAAAAGCACGTTATCGTTCGGTTTAGAATCCAATTCAGACCAATTTTTGCGAAATTCAAATTAATAAAAAATTCAAAACTGAAAACAACTCGGACGAGATGTTTCAAAAAGATGTTTTTAAATGTAGCAGTCGTTTAATCTTAACCTAGGTATTTACAGGCAATAAATGTACGCTATAAGAATAAAATCATTTATGCAGGATTGAATTCAATTAACGGATCGACAACCCGAATGCCCAATTTTTCTTGCTGGGTCCTCAGATTTGCAAGGAACTTCTTGCGCTGTGTTTTCAAGGTCCATTCCGGTCGATGGGAGCAGATTAGCATCTAGAACGCTTGGAAAGATGATACTTCTGAAAAATCGCTACCCTTTGCTCCGGTAGATACTTCATCAAGAAGCACGATGCGAAATATTTTGAGAACAGTTTGCGAATCTGAACAAAGACGATGCAATACCTGTGAAATCCAAATACCTCTTCCTCTTTGAAATCCGGATTCTCGTAAGCTACGATATTCGCGACGAGACCGCCTAATTTTGGTCATATAAGATAACATAACTATCATTACCTGTTGGATTGACGATCTGTGCCATCGTAGATATCGTTTCTTCATTCCGAAAACCCTCAATCGGGCAAATGACCACATTTTTCTTATCGTTAGAGCATGCGTCGAGGACGATAAAATCATATAATTCCCCTGAAAATTGGTATCTAAATACGTGAACATTAAATTCTAGCTTAAGCTCACTGAAAAACGAAACTTATGCTTACAAAGGCTTGTAATGGTTTGTAGTTTGTAGTTCCAGTTAGTAAACTAGAAAAAAACCTCAATAAAAGTACAAAAAAAATTAAATAACCCAGAGGGTCAAAAAAGAATGCTAAAAAACATCAACAATGCTTCTAGGATGTTAAGGTAGACATAAGAGTCTTGAAGCAAAGCTCAAAAGTCCTCAACTCAACATTTAGGCTTAATGCCTTAAGAAAACACGTAATACAAACGATAAAATCCACCTCTAGCCAACGCTTCCTTAGCATAAACAATCCCATCAGTAATCTCAATCCGATTCGACTCTGTTGGCACATAACCGTAAAATTTCTTCGCCACTTCGACCATGTCGGGATCGATTTCGACGGTTAGCACGTCAATCTGGAGATGTTTAATGCATTAGATTATCATATAGACATTTTTATTACTTACCTTTGCCTTTGGAAATTGAAAAAGATAATTCTGCATGGCACCACCGCCCAACCCGAATGCGATGACTTTATTGTGACTTCTCGTGAAGGATAAGGCCTGAAAACGAAAGGTAGTGAGAGAGAGAGAAAGAAAGAAAGAAAGAAAGAGAGAGAGAGAGAGAGAGAGAGAGAGAGAGAGAGAGGAGACAGAGAGAGAGAGATTTCTCGTTTTACCTCTATCATATACCCGCTAGCAATCATCACCATCACATAAGGCGTTATCAACGTTTTGCGATCGATATCCCAAGTAGCACTGTTTGCATTGTCATCCGTTAAGAAATCTATAAAAATAGAACCCTAAGCTTGAAGTTAAGTGAGCTAAAAAAATTAAAAATTGTTACTTACCTGGTACAACTAACAGAGCCTGCGACAGGGAAGCCGTTTGAATTTTGTCGGGCACGATGTCGCGTTGGACTTTTAGGCTAAAAGGTAAAGTTGGAGATTTTCTAATTTTACTAAAATTTTTTCTAAAAAACTCACTTTTCTCCATGCCTATA